TATGTGAATTGCTCAGTCTAAAAACGAAAAAAAAAACAAGTTTTAGAAAACATTTGTCGAGCTTTTAAGTTGTTAAGATGTTATTCGATGACCGTGATTGCTNAAACACTAGTTTAATCAGTTTCTTCTTAGCCATTTTGTACAGATCTTTTGATGATAAAAATTTAGAATTATATAATACAGAATGTATTTAAATATAAATTTCTATTTAAAAAAAAATCAAATCAGTAGTAATTAATGATATGCAAAGAAAGATCATGAAGTAGAGGAAATATCGTAAAATAAGATCTTGTATTACAAGAAGTTTGAGATTCCTATAATGCAAGATATCCACTTAATAGGATCATTAACCTAATATAAAGTACATAATAAAAAACAGGAGTTGGAAATCAGTCAATTTTTACTGATTAGCAATGAATTTGCTTTTGACTCAGACTCCACAACTCGTGGAAGTTAGAAGGAAGGTTATGCAATCCCAAATATTCAGGAAAATCTGAAACATTGTGTAGAATAGTTTATGCATAACACAGAACTATTTTTGTTTGTGCCATATTACTTTAAAGGGACAAAATTAACCCTTGAAAAAGGAGCATAGGTGAGCAACAAGGATACGGAAGAAAGACAATCGATGCACTTATAACAAGGCTGCAGAAACGGAATCAGCAACAAAGAAAAACTGAACAAAGGGAAAGAATTGTAATTAATTACCATCCATCTCTAAATAATTTTATTAAGAAAGTTGCCAGAAATAGGAATATAAAAATAATTTATAGACATAATCCTACAGTGTATAAGCTTCTAAAAAATGATAAGAGAAGATATGAAAATAATAGCATGACAGGAGTTTACTCGATACCTATGACAGACCATAGATTTAACTCTGATCTAATATATATATAGGAGCAATAATGCAGAACCTGAAGAAAAGGATTGATGAGCACAAATACTCAGTGAACAGGAGCGTTGATAACACGGTCCTTGCAGCATTTGCGAAGTAACAAGGAATAGCAGTATACTGGGATCAGGCAGCGATTATTAGACCTACAAGATCAATGCAAGCGGTGAAACACCTGGAGAAAGTTGAAATATACAAGGCACATATGACCGCGCAGTGCATCAATCACAGAGATGCTGAAGGTTTATCAACAACCTGGACGTCCTTTTATGATAACATGGATTAACTGTTGCAACTGTTTTTTATAGATTAACCAAATCTTTACGTTTTATGAGTAAGAGCATGCGCATTAGCATTAAGTTGTAAATAAGAAACCACATAAGCAGAGATAGTACTTGTTATATAATTTTTTGGTTTATTTTAATTAGTTTGGTTTAATCTTTACGATTTATGAGTACAGACATGCGCTTTTGTGTTAAGTTGTAAATAAGCGCTTTAAATTTTTGTATTTTTTTGAATACTTTGTTCGTTTTATGGTTCGAATTTTTAACTGAAGAAGATCACTTAAAATGGTCGAAAACGTTTTTAAAGCATTAAACATTATGCTGGAATAAAAAAAAGGTGTTTGTTTATTGTATTTAATTAATTCCAGTAAGCATTTATTTATTTCTTTATTAATGGCGATGCCGGCCAAGGTTTATAGGAAAGTAGTTCTTAAACCCTTGAAAAAATGTTGATTTCTTGTTTTTGCAAAATAACTGCTGATCAGTGAGAGATATTGAAAAAAATTTTAAAAAAGATGCAATTTTTTGGTTGTCTACAAAACTACATGTAGATAAGTATCAAAAGATGTCACTTTATGCCATTTAGATGTGAGGCTCTGGACAGGTCCGAACCCTCACTAAAATTCGCGTTAAAATAATTGTTTTAAAGAGAAAAAATATAGTAGTTAGAAATAGATTTTTATTTTATGAAAACACAACGCTAACTTTAAAACAATGGAAGAATGTAAGTCCGTCGACCATTTCCGGTTGGAGTCCCGCGCCCCCGAAAGGTTTCGAATTGTCATCAGGTGACGACGGGAGACCAATCGGAAAGGGGAATCTGAGAGAAAACAGATAAAACCCCGGAAATTCGAGGACGCGACGGCTTCTTCTCCCGAAAGTTCCAAGTGACCGACCTGTTGTTGTGTGTGTGTCTCGCACCCATCTTCGTCTCCATCTCCCGACCTCGGATCGACAACTTTCCATCAACGGAAGTCGACCGCATCGTCCCGGAGTCATCGAGACGTGATGGAATGGTTCATTCGCGAACAAGGGACACTACTTCAAAATGGGACTATCTTGGAAAGGAGAGGAAGACCCAGAGGCCGCAGCCGCCGCAGAACTTCCAAGATCGCGGAAATCTTGTAAGCTTCTTTCGTGTTTAATAAACGGTTGTGTTGTTTGTAAACGAAGCATCTATCTCTGACTCAACTGCTTCCACATGTTGATTGTTACCGCTCGGCAATCCAAACGGCAAGGGAGACGACGACGATATATATCACATATTATCGTTCGTCGAAAGTTTTTAAATTTCTCCCCCCTTGGCCCCCACATAGACATAAATTGTAATAATGTCAAATTGTTGCTTATTTATCTTGTAGTTTGCAAATTAGTCTAATAAAATAACACCTCAAGTAATGTATGTAAATTGCTGTATGAAAAGAGATTGTAAATTTATATGAAAATACTTCTTCATAAAGTACAAAAACTCAATTTTAAGGGTTGGTGGTGGGGTAACTTGAAAAACATGAATTTTTCAATATTTATCTATATTCAGACTTGTAATAATAAAAAAAAAAAAAGATGCAACTTTTGTTTAAACATTTTCTTAATCTTTCATTTTTTGATCAGCAGATATTCAGCATAAACAAGAAATTCACATTTTTTTCCTTCAAGAGATGATTTACCCCTCAAACTATAATATGGCACAAACAAAAATAGTTTTGTGTTACAGATTAACTATTCTATTTGTACATAATGTTCAGATTTCTTTAAATTTCTGAGTTGCCTAAACTCCCTTGTAAGTACAATTGCAACTCACTTTTCTAAACTAGTTATTGTAATGATAGTCAACAAAGAAACTGAAGATGAAGACTATGATACAGATATTGTAAACTACTGAGAACATTTATGCCAGAAGGTAAACATGCAGAAAGAAGTTTAAAAACTTCATTGAAGTAGATAAAGATGCCACTTATATTGAAGCAAGCAAAAGATACTGTGGTAGAAATACTATTAGAACATGATTCTAATGATTTTGATGAACAAGAGAAGGAGAATGAATTTGTAGATGAATCAAAAATTATGATTTCAGATGCAGTCAACATGGAATAATGGTATCTTCATTTTTCAAGACAAAATTATGTGCCAATGGTATACTGGAATGCTGTGACATAGTGCAAGATTCTATTGAAAAAAAACTTTGAGTAAACAAACAAAAAACACAAAAATTACTACTCTTTCAATGGAAAGTAATGGCTTTGTACAGCAACAACAGAGAGGCAGGCTATCAGTACTATTTAAGCTCAAAATATTTCTGATAACTAGATTTTTATTATAAATTAGCTTGTTACACTGGCTTTGCTGAGTTTATAAAGTACCCATTGCAGTTATTGTTACACCAGCATTACTAATCATAAATTTCAAAAATGTATGTGGTAAAATCCATTTTTAAAAAATATTATCCGAATGTCTTAAAATTAGTTTGGTTTATTTGATTATAGCAATGTGACACAATGGATGATTCTGCTACAGGGAAGACTTTTATGGAAAATTGGCTCCTATTTAGGTGTTACTAACATGAAGAAAACCCAGAAAACTCCATATGGCCAGTCTGTTGGTAATGTGCAAAACTACAACCAAGTATCAGTGTTTGGTGGTTTTATCTACTTGGCCACTGACGAGGACTTATTATCAATACAATTAAGATAGTATCATTCAGAAATGAAAGGGCCCAAGTTGTTAATGTGAAAATTTATTCATATATTGGGTTGTTTGGAAAGTAATTTTGTTTTTTTTTTTTACCACCAGAAGAATTAGTTGTATTTTTACTTGCCAATTTCATTTTAAACAATATTGTCATTATATATTTTGACAGCTGACATTTCAAAACTTATTTGTAAAAAGTTTTGTTCGATTCCATACAATATTTTTTTTAGTGTCCCATAAAATATAGTAAATCGAAAGCAGCATTTTCGGCACATTTTGCTTTTTTATTACCAAAAAAAATTAAAATGCTGTTCAAGCAAGAAAAAAATTGTGTGACATGTTTGGAGATAATGTGTTGACAGAAGAGTGCCAAAACTGGTTTAAAAAATTTCGTTCTGGCAATTTCAATATTGAAGATGCACCATGTTCTGGATGGCCAGCTGAAGCCAATGAAAACAAAATAAAGGTACTGATTGAAGCAAACTGCCGAATAACAACACGTGAAATCACTAAGATTAAATTTGTCGAATTGAACCATTATGGTCATTTGAAATGATTTGGTTTCATTTCAAAGCTCAATATATGGGTTCCACATGTTCTTAAAGAAAGAGATGGTCTCTTTGGTGGATTTTAAGGGAATTTTTTTTTAGCTTAATTTGATAATTCCGCAATTGATTCGAAAGTGTACTGCATCTCTCTCTCTCTCTTCGTAGACTGTATATCATAATAATTACACTACTCACAAGCCTTATATAATACAGCCAAATTTATTATAACACTTCAAACGTTTTCGGACATCTTTAATGCCCTTTTTCAAGAACGAACCAACGAAAATCGAATATTGGCGAATTCATAAAAACGATAAATGCGTTTTGGAACGCTTTTTAAACAAACTCTTATTGCGCAGAATCGTGCCGTTTGTTTACCGTTACAAATAAACGCAATAAAAAATACTACCAATAACCACTAATACGATACATCAAACCATACATATATGAACCTAACATAAATAAAGACAACAATGCTAAATATAACCATAAAATCACTAATAATAATGCACGTGTAGCCCGATTGCACCTTTCATATGCATGCTTTTCCAAAATTCGTCTTGCTATTTCTATTATTTCGCTCCGTTATATTAAGCTCGATCTCCATGCTTCCGATATTTTACTTGCTTCTCTAAAGTTAATTGCTTGTCCTTCTTGACTATTTTTACAAATATGCCACGCCTCTGCGTATTTGAGATGCCTTTTGTCGTGAATTTTTTGTACTAACTTTGCCTTATCCCACTCTGCTTTAACTTCTGTAGGGTCTGCTAGGATGTATGTCGCTAGCGCTGTGACTGGCTGCTCATTTCGTATGTTTCGTTTGTGCTCTATCATTCTTTCTTTGAGCGATCTCCCTGTAGCTCCAATGTAAAACAGCTCTTTCTGTCGCCTTTTATCTGTTATTGGAACTCTGTATACTCCGGGAAGAAGGTTTCCGTCTACCTCGTCTTTGTCTGTTCTTAACATTTGGTAAACTGTTGGATTCCTTTTGTAAATTATTTTCTTTTTTGTTGCTGCTCCTATTCTTTTGTATATATTGTTTAACTGCGCCCTGTACTCCATCATCGTATACTCTTCCCTTTTATTTCTTAGATTGAGCTCGTTGCTGCCTGTTTTTGTTTTGTTGGTTATAGCCTTAATGTTAACCCCAAACTGCCTTGCTAGCTTTTTTATATATTGCATCTCTTCATTTCTATCTTGCCTTTTGCTACAGTGCGAGTGCGCTCTTGCTATGAGCGCCCTGAAAGCTGCAAGTTTATAGGTTGCTGGGTCGTGAGAATTCCAGGGAATAAATAATGGGTTATATGTAGGCTTTCTGTACACCTTTGTAGTTATATCCCCTTTATCTATTTGTAATGATAAATCCAGAAAATGTATAATTTTATCATTTTCTTGTTCCAGCTCAATCTCTAGGCCAAAATTGTTGTCATTGATGTCTTTTATAAATTGCTGTAGTATTGGTTTTGCTTTCCATATGATAAGCACGTCGTCGACATACCGAGCATATAATACGATTTGCATTCCATATTTTGGTATGATGTTGTTCTCTAATGTTCTTAAAACCATTTCACATAGCGTACCTGCTATTGGGCTTCCCATTGCTACACCTTTCTGCTGCGCATATGTGACTCCTTTGAAGTTAAATATCGACGAATATGTGGTTAGATGCGTCAGCTCTAGTATCTGTTTTCTCTTCTTTTCTGTATTTTTGATTTTGTTTAACAAGAAATCTCTTAAGTGGCAAAAACAAGGCTCTAGTTTAATGGATGGATATAACGCTTTAAAATCCAATACTGTCATATAACTTACTTCTTGTGGTTTTATAGTTTTCAATTTATGGAGCAGCTCTAGAGGATTTTTTATGCTGTAATTGTGCGTGGGCAAGTGCGTGTTAATAAAGCCTTTAAGTAATCTTTCCAATATTATTGTAGGTGAATCTCCTTTATCTACGACTGGCCTAATACTTTTTCCGATTTTATGCGTCTTAGCAAATCCGAAGAGTCTCGGCATGGATGGAGAGGTGACTACTATTTTCGTCATACCCAGCTCTTTTGCAAGTGGTGTTTTAGCGAATTGCTTGATTCTTGTTTGCAGTCTCTCCAAAGCACGTGGGTGCGCAGTAATACATTTTGTTTCATTTATGTATTTCAGCAACAGTTCATCATATGTATTTCTTTTCATGATTACTACATCCTTTGATTTGTCGGCTCTTGTAAGTACTAAGTTATTATCTTTCAGCCATTGTTTGCTTTTTTTGATATTCATCCATGTTTGATTGCTGTCTCGTTTCTTATTGCTCTTAAAATAAAGCATATAAATAAGAAACGAGACAGCAATCAAACATGGATGAATATCAAAAAAAGCAAACAATGGCTGAAAGATAATAACTTAGTACTTACAAGAGCCGACAAATCAAAGGATGTAGTAATCATGAAAAGAAATACATATGATGAACTGTTGCTGAAATACATAAATGAAACAAAATGTATTACTGCGCACCCACGTGCTTTGGAGAGACTGCAAACAAGAATCAAGCAATTCGCTAAAACACCACTTGCAAAAGAGCTGGGTATGACGAAAATAGTAGTCACCTCTCCATCCATGCCGAGACTCTTCGGATTTGCTAAGACGCATAAAATCGGAAAAAGTATTAGGCCAGTCGTAGATAAAGGAGATTCACCTACAATAATATTGGAAAGATTACTTAAAGGCTTTATTAACACGCACTTGCCCACGCACAATTACAGCATAAAAAATCCTCTAGAGCTGCTCCATAAATTGAAAAATATAAAACCACAAGAAGTAAGTTATATGACAGTATTGGATTTTAAAGCGTTATATCCATCCATTAAACTAGAGCCTTGTTTTTGCCACTTAAGAGATTTCTTGTTAAACAAAATCAAAAATACAGAAAAGAAGAGAAAACAGATACTAGAGCTGACGCATCTAACCACATATTCGTCGATATTTAACTTCAAAGGAGTCACATATGCGCAGCAGAAAGGTGTAGCAATGGGAAGCCCAATAGCAGGTACGCTATGTGAAATGGTTTTAAGAACATTAGAGAACAACATCATACCAAAATATGGAATGCAAATCGTATTATATGCTCGGTATGTCGACGACGTGCTTATCATATGGAAAGCAAAACCAATACTACAGCAATTTATAAAAGACATCAATGACAACAATTTTGGCCTAGAGATTGAGCTGGAACAAGAAAATGATAAAATTATACATTTTCTGGATTTATCATTACAAATAGATAAAGGGGATATAACTACAAAGGTGTACAGAAAGCCTACATATAACCCATTATTTATTCCCTGGAATTCTCACGACCCAGCAACCTATAAACTTGCAGCTTTCAGGGCGCTCATAGCAAGAGCGCACTCGCACTGTAGCAAAAGGCAAGATAGAAATGAAGAGATGCAATATATAAAAAAGCTAGCAAGGCAGTTTGGGGTTAACATTAAGGCTATAACCAACAAAACAAAAACAGGCAGCAACGAGCTCAATCTAAGAAATAAAAGGGAAGAGTATACGATGATGGAGTACAGGGCGCAGTTAAATAATATATACAAAAGAATAGGAGCAGCAACAAAAAAGAAAATAATTTACAAAAGAAATCCAACAGTTTACCAAATGTTAAGAACAGACAAAGACGAGGTAGACGGAAACCTTCTGCCCGGAGTATACAGAGTTCCAATAACAGATAAAAGGCGACAGAAAGAGCTGTTTTACATTGGAGCTACAGGGAGATCGCTCAAAGAAAGAATGATAGAGCACAAACGAAACATACGAAATGAGCAGCCAGTCACAGCGCTAGCGACATACATCCTAGCAGACCCTACAGAAGTTAAAGCAGAGTGGGATAAGGCAAAGTTAATACAAAAAATTCACGACAAAAGGCATCTCAAATACGCAGAGGCGTGGCATATTTGTAAAAATAGTCAAGAAGGACAAGCAATTAACTTTAGAGAAGCAAGTAAAATATCGGAAGCATGGAGATCGAGCTTAATATAACGGAGCGAAATAATAGAAATAGCAAGACAAATTTTGGAAAAGCATGCATATGAAAGGTGCAATCGGGCTACACGTGCATTATTATTAGTGATTTTATGGTTATATTTAGCATTGTTGTCTTTATTTATGTTAGGTTCATATATGTATGGTTTGATGTATCGTATTAGTGGTTATTGGTAGTATTTTTTATTGCGTTTATTTTTAACGGTAAACAAACGGCACGATTCTGCGCAATAAGAGTTTGTTTAAAAAGCGTTCCAAAACGCATTTATCGTTTTTATGAATTCGCCAATATTCGATTTTCGTTGGTTCGTTCTTGAAAAAGGGCATTAAAGATGTCCGAAAACGTTTGAAGTGTTATAATAAATTTGGCTGTATTATATAAGGCTTGTGAGTAGTGTAATTAGAAAGTGTACTGCCATCAAATGGACAAATTGAATGATACCATCAAACAGAAAAGGCCAGAATTGATCAACAGAAAAGGGATAGTGTTTCATTATGATAATGCCAGATCTGACACAAGTTTGTTAATTTGTCAGAAATTGTTACAGCTTGGATGGGATGTGCTACCAAACCCATCATATTTGGCAAATCTGGCACCCTCAAATTATTACTTGTTCCAGTCTTACAAATTTTTTAAATGATAAAACATTTTCTTCAAATGAGGATGTCAAAAATCACTTTTATCAGTTTTTTGTAAGCAAAGATCAAAACTTCTATGAATGTACTACCAGAAAGATGGCAACAGATATTGGTCTTCAACAGATATTCAATAAAATATTTATATATTACAGGTATACCTACAGTGACCATATGTCCTTTATTTTCCCCCAAAAAATATGGTCACTGTAGGTATACCTTGAGTTATGTCATTCTCGATTATACGTCGTTTGTCAAAAAATATACGGAAAAATAAAAATCAAGTTTAAGTCATTTTATTCGACTTTACGTCCATCCGCCACAAATATTGAAGTCATTATATCACTAGAAAAGCATTAAAGCGCACAAAATTATATTAAAATATGTACATTTACAGTAAATGTTAATATAATCATAAATCCTAGAGAATGAAACATGAAAACATTCATGTTTCTGTGTTGTTGTGTTATTTAGCGGTCTTTAAGTGCTCAATATTGGTGTTTTCCAATATCTACCGTTTGGCGTCGTTGTCAGCGCCACTCGATGTTGGTAAATTTACTATAAATTAGTTTATTTTCTACTGTCGCAAGATAATTTTAATAACTATATTTGTTATTTAATCTTACAAAATCATCTTATTTTATAATGTCTTAGAGCAAATCACATTCTCAAATAGAGTCCGCAATGTACTGCTAACATCGTCAAATTGTAAACATGTACGGTACATTTACAAGTATGTACTGTACGTTCTGTACATGAATTCGTAAATTTAGATTACTTTTTTCCTGTACTATATNGTTAACAATAAAAAGATGTTTATTTTACTTTAATTGCTTTTTTCATTTTCTTATCCATATGCATTTAATTTTCTTTCTTTGGCCTGTTTTTCTTTTAATATATTTTATCTTTTAAAATTTTTAGAAATAAAGTTATTTTTATCCATTTTAACTAAATAACTGATCTCATTAAATTATTTACTATTAAATGTTAAATAATTATTTTCTGATTCCTCCATAACAAGAAAACTAAAACAACTGCCCACCAGTGGCTGAGTGGATAAAACCACTGAACACTGGTCACTGGTAGTGGGTTTGCACCTCACCAATAGGCTAGCCATGTAAAGTTTTCCAGGTTTTCTTCACATTAGTAACTAAGTGTTACTAATTTACTAAAGTGTTACTACTTACTAAAGAGGGACTATTTTTCCATAAGACCTCCTGGGAGGCATTCCTCCCTTGGCAGATCAACCAAGTGTTGCATTGTTTATACAAATAAAAATAAAAAGTTCAAATTTATAATAGGATAAACATATGTCATCTCATTCTAACTAAAGCTATATTAAGAGAAAATTATAATGCAATATACAACTGAAATTAATGTTTTAATTTGAAATTAGTTTATTATCTAGTGAGGCCTATATTTTAATTCAAAACATTTAAAATCATATAATTACAGGACTGCAAGGTATTCTTAACGTAACTAAAATTTTAAATTTTTATTGCAAATGCTTTATTGAAATTATTATAAAAAATAGATATATCTTAATTTAAAATAAAAGTTTGTTTATCTTCTGTCTTTCTTTAAATTTATGCTTAATATAAAAATAAAAAGTTCAAATTTATAATAAAAATAAAAATAAAAAGTTCAAATTTATAATAGGATAAACATATGTCATCTCATTCTAACTAAAGCTATATTAAGAGAAAATTATAATGCAATATACAACTGAAATTAATGTTTTAATTTGAAATTAGTTTATTATCTAGTTTATTATCTGTTATAGTTTATTATCTAGTTTATTATCTGTTAGTTTTTCCAACTTAATTTGCTTTATAAATTTAATTTTAATATTTAAAAAAAAACAAACAAAAAAACAGCTCCCATCAGCATATATACACTGTATAAAATCATAAAGTGATAATTAATTTAACATTATTCAAAATCCCAGCATATAATGCAAAATGAAATTATTCTAAAACAATGAATATAGTATGTGAAGTATTATTACTAAATACTTCATATTGAATAATGCTAAATAATAATATGATTTTATAATTATTTGTTTTCTTAGTTTTACACCATAAAAATAGCAGAAATTTCCATAAGAATGGATATACACTAATTAAAAAATCCTAACAAATTTTGCTTTTTACATGTAGCGCCAATAGATGGTGCTACATGTAAAAAAGCAAATCAAATGTAGATAGAAATTGATATAAAGATAATCAATCAATATTTTGCAATGGTAAGTATGACAGTATCTAAGTTGGATGTATGTTAACACAACTGCTGAGTTTCATAGCAATTGGTCAAATAGCCTAGGAGTGCATAGCAAATAAAAAAGACAGCCTCATTTATATATACAGTATAGATATATATTCTGTATTTAATATAACTTAAGTTATAAAAGTGTAGTATTTTGTTCCAAATAAAATGTATGTAATAAGTTGTATTTCTAAAAACTTTTTACTTTAAAATGTGTTTTTTTTTATTGTGAATACATTTTTTCATCATTCTCCTTTCTACTTTATTTCAAAGAAAGAAATTTCATTAGAAAAAAATATTTTGGCAGCCCCNATAGATATATATTCTGTATTTAATATAACTTAAGTTATAAAAGTGTAGTATTTTGTTCCAAATAAAATGTATGTAATAAGTTGTATTTCTAAAAACTTTTTACTTTAAAATGTGTTTTTTTTTTATTGTGAATACATTTTTTCATCATTCTCCTTTCTACTTTATTTCAAAGAAAGAAATTTCATTAGAAAAAAATATTTTGGCAGCCCCACAATATCATTATGCTAACATTTCACTGTTTTATCTACATCTTTAACAGAATGTAGAATTCATAATTTGGAGTATAAAGTGCTTAATTTCCACACACTATTCAAAATTCTACTATTTACATTCAATACATGGCATTTCAATACATTACATTCATTATGATCATATATGACATTTTGATAGTACAGCCAGTTACATATGAAAATTTCATAACATTTCATGATAAAATCATATCTATGATATTGTTCCCAGCAAATAATACTCTATCTTGTTTTTCTAATTAGCAATTCACAAGTAGAAAGTAAATAATTTCAAGCTAGAGAGAATCTACAAAAAATTATTTTTAAGGTTTTCAAATTCACTATTTTATTTCCTAAATACTACTGCAAATACTGATAAATGCTATAGAGCAAAATTTTTAAAAATTGTTTAAAATTTTACTATTCGTTTCAAAGTTTTAATTCACAACATTTTTTATTCAAAGAGGTTAATAGTAATGTCCCATTTTGATATTATTATTAATAAATACTTGGATTTTGATTTGGTGCTGATTAGAGGTGATAAATTGTTTCCTCTCATTTTCTTATTTAGTATTTTTGGATTTTTTCAGTTTCAGAATTTTTATATATTAAAATTTCTGATACTTAAAAATTTCAGATTGAAAACTCTCTAGATCAGCAATCTAAAAACTTATTTTTAGCCAATCAGCAATCTGCTTGTGGCATAGTACTCTCTCAGTAATAGGAGATAATGACCAGATACAGCTCCTGGTTAGATTTATAAATTTTTTAATCAGCTTCATATGTCACTTATTTTTATGATTTTCACAATACAGATGGAGATTTGGGCTACTAATCAAACTTTCTGAATTTAAAGCATTAAAGAAATAAAATCAATGTAATTTTACTTCTGCTTAAATTTAAAAAAAAATCATTAAATTTATTAATTTTTGTTATTAAACACTCAAATCAATAAATTTTAATACTAGTCAATATAACTGACATTAAATATTTAAAAATGGATAAAAAAATTGTAATGGATAAAATGGATAAAAATGGGAAAAAAAAAATGGATAAAAAAATTTTAAAAGAAAATATAGAAAATGTCTTCAAGCTAAAACACTCAATTGGCACTGATTCTGAGATAATGAATTATAACATTAAACAGTTAACAATAAAAAGATGTTTATTTTACTTTAATTGCTTTTTTCATTTTCTTATCCATATGCATTTAATTTTCTTTCTTTGGCCTGTTTTTCTTTTAATATATTTTATCTTTTAAAATTTTTAGAAATAAAGTTATTTTTATCCATTTTAACTAAATAACTGATCTCATTAAATTATTTACTATTAAATGTTAAATAATTATTTTCTGATTCCTCCATAACAAGAAAACTAAAACAACTGCCCACCAGTGGCTGAGTGGATAAAACCACTGAACACTGGTCACTGGTAGTGGGTTTGCACCTCACCAATAGGCTAGCCATGTAAAGTTTTCCAGGTTTTCTTCACATTAGTAACTAAGTGTTACTAATTTACTAAAGTGTTACTACTTACTAAAGAGGGACTATTTTTCCATAAGACCTCCTGGGAGGCATTCCTCCCTTGGCAGATCAACCAAGTGTTGCATTGTTTATACAAATAAAAATAAAAAGTTCAAATTTATAATAGGATAAACATATGTCATCTCATTCTAACTAAAGCTATATTAAGAGAAAATTATAATGCAATATACAACTGAAATTAATGTTTTAATTTGAAATTAGTTTATTATCTAGTGAGGCCTATATTTTAATTCAAAACATTTAAAATCATATAATTACAGGACTGCAAGGTATTCTTAACGTAACTAAAATTTTAAATTTTTATTGCAAATGCTTTATTGAAATTATTATAAAAAATAGATATATCTTAATTTAAAATAAAAGTTTGTTTATCTTCTGTCTTTCTTTAAATTTATGCTTAATATAACTTAGTTTTTCCAACTTAATTTGCTTTATAAATTTAATTTTAATATTTAAAAAAAAAACAAACAAAAAAACAGCTCCCATCAGCATATATACACTGTATAAAATCATAAAGTGATAATTAATTTAACATTATTCAAAATCCCAGCATATAATGCAAAATGAAATTATTCTAAAACAATGAATATAGTATGTGAAGTATTATTACTAAATACTTCATATTGAATAATGCTAAATAATAATATGATTTTATAATTATTTGTTTTCTTAGTTTTACACCATAAAAATAGCAGAAATTTCCATAAGAATGGATATACACTAATTAAAAAATCCTAACAAATTACAATACATTAAAAACGACACAGGTATATATGAAGAAATTTTAAAACTGATTTTTCATTTTTTAAACCTTTTCTAGACAAAAATTTGGAACATTTTTTTATGAAAGTTTACAAAATGTTCCAAAATATTTGGAACAACAAAAAATATATATTTTATCAAAATCATATATAATTAACAAAAGTAACTTGCATTACAATTTAAATCTAATAAATTTATATAATTTGTAATTTTATAGGCCTAACTTCCTGGAGGAAAATTCTACCAATTTCCAATTAATTCAACACACAAATGAAAGTTATAACATCTATTGTAAATGAAATATGAAAATAAACTTATAATAAACTAATACTCTTTTTAACACTTATTTTTTCAACTAAATAGCAATTAAAACATTAAACACATAAATTTACTATTAACATATTTACCTAATATATATTTATAACTTATTTATACATTAAGTAATTTTAAATATCAACATTCAATTTATTAAGTTCCTAAAACAATGTTTCTTTTTTAAACATTTGTGCTTTCAAGCTGAAGATGAACTAAAATAGGTTGGAAATATTTCTTTTGTAATAAATAAATTTGGCTTNATATATATATATATATATATTTTTTAGATTTATCCATTGTTATTCTCAACACAAGATTTGTCTAATAAAGACACAGGTCTATCATTAAGTAAATCTTATTTAAAAATTCACTATTATACCCAAATTTACTAGTTTTAAGGTAGAAGTTACTTTTAGGTATTTTGTGTATTTATACATCTGTAAATAAATGACCTGAAGGTAACTTCTACTAGTTTTAATTGTATTCACAGCTGAACCAAAATATAATTTCTCAAATATTGATTATTACTTTAAATGAAGATCGATTAACCGTTTTCGGTTACTAAAATGATTGAATCGTCAAACAGTAAAATAATCTGAATCATAAAATTTCGGTCAGTGGAAATTAAGTCGGAAAGATTTCGTTGATTCATTGGTTGTTGTTTGAACTGAAAAGAGACAGTAGCGAGTTGTATGGCCCCAAACGTATAACTACCAACGGCAAACACTAATTTCATCAATGTATGCTAACGTCTTGAAACTATAGAAATTTAAAAGATTCGGCAACATTCAACATCAATTATTTCGTTTCTGTTGCGTTCAAGACTGAAAAGAGGTTCGTAAGCGCCATCTGCATCAATGATGAGCGCCATCTGCAGCTTGTCCTTTCGTCCTTCCGTCGCCATCTTGCCACGGAACCAGACTGATCAGAGATTACGTTGTTGACTGAAAACTTCGAGTAGTATAAAACCTCGTTGTATTCTAATTCATTTCGAGAAGAATTTCGTGACCCGGATAAAAGCAAATCGTTTGTATTATATACTTACATCGGTAATTCGTCAGTGCGGCGTTGCTTCGCAACGAGTCGTTGTTAGCGAATAGTTGTCCTTGACGACGATTGCACTGGACGTCGTAGGGATGTTCGAAGTCGGTTCTGTTCGAGTAAAATAATTGTTTGTAAATTTACGAACTGAAAAATGATAAATTCAAGACCTAAAAAAGTATTTTAAATTTATCTTTTACCTTGTTAAATTGGTTAACGCTTGAGGGCGTTGTCAGCGTCCATCATGGCGCACATGATCTCCTGCCAGTTCAAGTAAAGAATAGAGGTTTAATGCGCATGTGCTGGATAGCTGCAACCAAGCTATCGTCTGACTCGAGGAGGAAAAAGCGAAAACAACTGTCTGCCATTAATAGACCATTTGCGCAAGTTTAATAATTACTTTGAACCTAAAATCAATCATTCGAAGATGATAAATTGTTTATATAATTAAAAATTACGTGTTCTGTATGAAAATCCGTTTGCTAAATTATATTTTTTTCAAAATATTCAATACAAATTACACAATTAAAAAATCCAGAAAGGTCATTTTTATTATACACGATTCTTTTTAAGATTATTTTCAAAATGGTTAATCTCATCCGTTCTTTAAAGTTGTCAAAAAAATTCAAGTATCAGATTGTAATACAATCTTTAAAAATGTACAGTTTATATTTTCAGATACAAGGAAACAGAATTAAATAATCGATAAATAATCGCAAGTCGCAAATTATTAATTTAGGTCATTTCGAAATGATTTTATGCATTGGTAATCCGTTTACAAAATCATTTCCGATTTTTGCAGTAGTTTTAAAATGACTAACGTTTTATTCGTAGTAAAATATATATATATATTTTTATTTCCTATTAAATAGTTATACAATTGGATCTTTGGAGATTCTAAACTTTGGTTAAGCATCGTTGACTTTCATGCTTCATTGTAAACAATTCTGTAATCCATCAAAAATATTCCTTATCAAGATTTCGTTAATAATAATTATAATAAAGAATTGTATTTTGTTGAAAAATATGCAATGCAAAAAGAATTTATGATTTTATATTCCAATTTTACAGAGTAACCCTCGAAAAATTTGTTCTAAAGGAGGAATTTATAACCTTTTATTGCAGAACACGCTAATGGATTGGCCAATGAGTATAGATTAGTCAATGCACATTATAATTATTTATACTTATACATTACAACAATATTTTTATACATCGTTTACGTTTAAAGTTCGTTATTATGTTTTCAAAGCATTGAATTTAATGGGCTTTAGGAAATAGCGGGCATACCGCTTAGTCCGTTAAATCGAGGGCATACTGTATTTCATTAGAGTTCTGTTGTGTTGATTAAACATGCAATACATTATGTTTTTATTTAATCCGTTTATGGCTAAAATGAGATTAAGTAAGGAAATATTTATTATTTTCCTTTTTTAAAAAAATTATATGGTAAATAAAATTAATCCCCGTTTAGTTATTTCGTTATTGAACACAAAAACAATATTGGTAATCGTTCCTATTTTTAAATATATTTTTAATTCTTTAATATTAAATGATAATGATGCAAATCGTTAGCCTAAAGTCTTTCAATAGAGAAATAAACTTTAATGCATAGACCTATCTATCCTGATCGTTTCTTTGTGTGAGATAACATTATTGTTGTAATTAGGCCTAATTTTTAGACAACTTCTTAGTTATTATTATTTAAGTTATGTTTAATAAAAACGTTTATGCTAAATAATAAACTCTGGTGCAGATGATTTCTTATTGTAACAACTTAAGTACCAGATATTAACCAGATGGTTGTATGGTATCACCATGGGAGACCTGGAGTGTTTCTAAGTGAATAATGATATACTCCGCTTAATTGATATGCTTATTTAGCTGCTTGTTATTTAGAAGCAACCACGAATTCGAATTCAACAAGGGCCCCGTAATTTATTGTGGGCAATACAGGTTAGGGTGTTGCTTCTCATCCTTCATCCTTTCTGTTTGGCTTACCAGTGATCGAGTGGATAAAACTATGAACACTAGTATTTGGTCATGGATTCACGCCTCACCAACGGGCTGGCCGCATAAAGTTTTCTGGGTTTTATTTACGTGTCTAACATCTAAATAGGACTAGTTTCTCATAGAAAGTCTCCTCGGGAAGCAGCCTCCTTGGAAGATCTCTCGTGTTTCGTTGTCGTATTTCATCAAACCAACCCTGCGTAACCAATTTACACATTCCTCCTTTTCAATATTTAATGTCAGATAAATTAATTTGGAAATAATGATTAATCTGCCAAATTTGTACAATTAATTCACTAATTTCGACAAATAACAGAAGATGTGTATAGTCAGATGACCGAGGAGTTAAAGAGTTAGTGCTCACAGGACGGAAAGAGTAAAAAATAAAAATAAATATTATACTATGTAGTAACTGTCTCTTAAAAATAAAACAACATAAAATAACTGTCATTTTCCAAAGTGATTAATTGGACATCGAGCAAATCTAATCTTAGAATTATATAGTAAAATATTCATCGGAAGATTTTAGAATCGACAAAAGAACAACGTTTTTGTATGTGCTATGATATCGAAGATGTATTTCTAGTATACAGAACAAGACAAATTCTTGAATTTTTACTATTAATTATTTTTAGAGAATTTATTTTTATTGTGAAATATAAGAAATAGCCGAAGTAAAACTCGTGTAATTTATAGTCACCATACTTTATACTATTGTTTAAGTATATTCAAATTTTAGTATAAACGAACAATTTACTTTCAACAGATGCAATAAAATTGACATAACTTGTGTGGCATTAGATAACGGAACGAATTACTCGATGGTTAATATAATAATTTTCTCCATAGACAAAGACTGAACAATCTGTACCCGCAGTTACTACTCCCTCTGTATTCTTGTTCGCTTATTTAAATCTGCGATATCTATCATTGCCTTTTACCTTGCCTAAGGCCTTTCCCTGTCTTGGAAATTTTCCAAACATTGTTTTGATACTTTTTTCGGAAATTCTTTATTATTCTATATAGCAATTGTATTTTATTTGTTTATTTATTTATTTTGTCCGGATGTCCAAGTGGTCACGATGACAACCTACCGCTCTAGGGGACTCGGAATCGAGTCTGGGACGGGTCGAAAAACTAAGGAATTTTTCGGGACTAACTCCATACTCCGTAACGAGACACAGGGGAATACTATTTATAAATATTTATTAAAATAAGATATGTATTTTTTCATGAATTAAAACTTAGAAACTGAATTGGTTCCCTCTGGACGAATGAATAGAACAAACTACTAGTTTATTAAGTGAAGTAGATGAAATTGAATTCACGAAAAATATTCGATTTCTATACCTTTATACAATATTTGAAAAGTTTTACACATTTATATATACAAAAATATAAACAGTCGTCGTAATAACCATTTTTTTTTTTTTTAGATACACCACAATAAATCATATTTTAAGGGGGAAACATATCTCATTAGGAGAACTCAATTTACAGAATCAAAATAAAATAATCGATGTAAAATGTAAATGTTGAAATAATCACTAAGCTTTATTCCTAGTAATTTTTAAAAATATTTTATTTTTCGGCCCTCTGATTAACAAGAAATTCTTTATGACATCACGGCAAGGTTTGCGCTTTCCTCTAGCAATGCGCCAATCTATATGTATTTATGAGTTAAAAACTTTTAAAATTTTTTGCATTTGATCCCTACTTTATTATAAAACTAGATATAAATAGGATTCGGTAATGTAACATCTGGATAGTGAGAGAAAAGACCCGCTATCCAAGCAATAAGATCCTATTCAAACATAAAACCGAGATCCTTATAGCGGTAGTAATTTCTTTTCTGTGCCTAATTTTGCTTTGTATTTGTAATTTTAAATTTTTTTAATTGAGAAATGTTAGCAATTAAATTTATATTTCTTGTTTTTTTCCTCAGTTTGAATTTAATTTTTATTCTATTTGATATTTTTTAGAAGCGTTAAAATGTCCTCAGTGATCTAAAAATTAGCATAGAATTATACGAATTAATTTCCGAATTTTCTGTATTATAATAATTAATACTGTATTAAAAAATAATAATTTTATACAAGCAATTAGGTATGTTGATTAACATAACATTTATATCCTATAACATATTGTTTATAATTCAAAACATTTTATTTTGTTTTCTTTAGCCTTAATATTATCAGGAAAACTTTTCTTTTGTTTCAAGGATTTCATGGAAATCTAAACATAAATTTAAATTTAAAACATCAATTTCCCCAATAATTGTATACAATTTTTATTTTGAATTATGAAAACTAAATTTATATACTTGCTAAACTTGCTAATACAAATTTATTTATTATCATAAACCCATTGAGAAGCAGTTATATTAACGAATTATTTGAATATTTAATTATTTAAACGTTTTACTGTTCTGTATTGTACTGCTAGTTGCAACTGACCAATGATGGCTGCTTCCTGTTCACTTGTCGTTCAGCAGATGTATCTACGTAACAGCTACCGATTGAAAAACTTTCACTCAGTAAAAATTCTACTGAATGAATGATGTCACTAGTAGAAGGTTAGCATAGACAAAATAAGCTGACTGAACTAGTTAGAATTCTAGCAGTTGGAGGAGTCAAGAAGTAATTAGATACGAGTACAGCATCGCAGAATAACTACACCCAGCAAGAATTCTGCGATAATAAACATGGCACCGTTGTCAAAGTATACGAATAATTTAAATTGTTAACAGTTATTTCGAGTATGCTATGTTTTGAGAAATCTCTTTTCTGAGTGTGTATGATTTCGAAAGAAAAGTAATGTTGTGACCAAATTTTGTTTTAAAGCTGGTTTAACACTTACATAAAAACTTTGGGAATAGTGGAAAATGCTTTTTATTTATTCTATTTTCACATTTAAACTGAAATTGGGAGAATAACGAAAGGTTTTTTTCAGTTCTCCGAACAAACATTAAAAACACACAATAAAACAGACATATATAAATCAGTTACAAATAACAAATACAGAATGTAGCGAAATATTACAATACACTTAATTATAAAATTTTGGAACTAGAATACTGCTAAGCACAGTAATGGAAAATCTTTTATGTAATAAAGCTGTTAAAACTGGATTTTTCTGGAGCTTTTTTCTACACATGCTGAGGTGTGTACAGGGACGCCCGTATATTGGGACACGTGCCACCCTTTGTCGCCGGGTTGTTCTTTTCTTAATCTCCAAGAGAGCTTTATTCATCACAGAAAACTTTTTTACTGATGACAAAATTTTAAAACAAAAATATTTGTTATTAACCGAAAATTTGTTCTAGCGGGTGATGATTGTTTGATCGAGTACCGAGGTCACGGTATTTGATTAACGCGATTTTGATATATTCGATAGCATCGAAGGATTAATTAACTGCGTTAATCAAGGGATATCTGTATATATATACGGATATATATTTATATACATGTATGTACGATGCCATTTTTAACAGCTTGTGTCCTTTTTTATAGTCTGCGGGCGCCGCTGGATATGTATTACTGTAAGTGATATTTTTGACACGCAGTGGCATAGCTACCATGGAGCAATTGGAGCAAACTGCTCCAGACGCACGAATCATGAGGGCGCCAAGTTAGAAAGTTTTTCAAAACTAAAATTAATCGAAACTTATTTAAGAAACAGCGTGTCACAACACCGTTTTAGTTCTTTGGCTACTATATCAATTGAAAAAACAATAGCTAGTCAACTTGATCTGGAGAAAGTGATTGACCGCTTTGCAAACGAAAAAGCGAGAAAATAATAATTTTGAATTTTTGTTATGTATTGTTATGCATTTGTTATGAAACTAAACTTGCATACATTTTGTCAATACAGTTTATATAATATATTGTAAATATTATTAGGTACTCCGTACTTAAAGAATTATATTTGGTTTAAATTTAACACCTTGTTATTGAAATACTGTACCTCGAATCTCAAATAAATTGTTATTAAGTAAGGTTTTAAATCGGAAAATTAGATATATGTTTTTCAACTAAATGTTCAAAACAAATTTCGCCAGACCTCTTCCGCAGGACTAGTAGGCGCACCAACCGCGGATCCAGACATCTGTCACAGAGGGACGATAAAAAAATTTTTTATCTGCTTCCGGTGCTTCTGATTTATTTATTGTATTGAATAATGAAAAAATCAAAAAGCAGCACGCTGGGTACAATCTAATCCATCCAATACAAGCGAGCCATAGAGAGGTTTGACAATTTTAAGTTCTAATGTCTAAACGTTGAGTTTTGGGGTTATTGGAAGCTTGTGGGCGATCGCCCCATCGTCCCCTAAATCCACGCCTGGGGCGCACCGATTCTACTTGCTCCAGGGCTCTGAATACGTAGCTACGTCACTGTTGACATGGTATTATCCACAGTCTCAGATGGCAGTTTGAGTCAGTTAGTATCAATATCCTCTTCATCATCTTATTCAATGTGTCGTAGTTTCTAAAACTTATCTTCTAAATCTATAATAATGAATTAAATAAAATTATTATAATAGTATAATTACATAGACTCGAGCTGCTGTCACATCACCGATTCTAGATCGATATTGCTGAATTATTGTCCTGCTAACAATTTCCTTGACACTTGATTCTTCATGAGCATGACGTCGTATCTATAACATTTTCCGACTGATGATAGATTATATTGCAATTCCATTCTTTTTTTTTTCAAGAGAGTAAGCTGCGTGACCAATCACCTCATTGTAGTGGTCCATGCTGATAGCCACTGACGTAATTCTTACCCCATTCAACTGGGCTACGTGGTTTGTGAATGTTCCCGGATATGTCGGGCCACGTCCCTCATTACACGGTAGCCTCATTATGGGCTTGGCCGAACCCAGGAGGGGCTTGTAAAAGGTCCTCTAAGGTCGCGTTTAGAAATTCTAACCGGTAACACCGCGGTAGTAGTGACTGACGTCATCGGTCATTGCCAGTTATTCCAGGCGATTAGTGCATTTTTAAACACGCTGGTTATTTCATGGTATTCAATATGGCGGAAAGTCGAGAGATGATATTACTTCTGTCATTGCTCTCGAATATCGATTCAGAATCATATTACGACGAAGATTCGACAAGTTCATCAAAAGATGAAAATGAACTTGTAGAATTTTTTAAACAAGTATCGAAGAAAAATTTATCTTCGTTTAGTTTATACTGCGAAATCAATAATTTCCTACCATTTGTTGGTCATTTTCCATTGCCTAATCTGAAATTTGGGACGACGTAGCTTTCTGATCTTCGTCGCTTTGTGTCGCGAAACAAAATGTTTTATTTTCTCTAAATTTTAAAAATTACGGCCACACTCATCACACGATACAACGTGTCTGTCATCTTGTAATTCAATAGAATCGCTGTAACCGCTTTGTCACCGTGGTTACTTTGGTAAGTACCGCAGGACAATCCGGCGACGTCATAACCGTAATTTTTAAAAGCGGTTGGTTATTTAGGTCACACTTTCTAAACGCCTTGGTAACTACCGGCAGTTACCGGTAACACCAGTTACAATTTCCAAACGCGTCCTAAGTGTTTACAGGACGGAAACGGTTAAAAAAAAGTACTCAGTTCTCGTGACGGAAGCTCTACCGATATTACTACATTAGTCAATAGAATAAAAGAATTTTCATTGAGTTTTTGTTTTTATACAATATCAATTCAAATCTATCTTATCAGTTAATTTTTGTACAATGATATTAATTTAATTGATTACAGTATATTGTTTTTTCTCCGAGAGACTGAATAGTATTAAATTAAAATATTTTGAAATAATTTACTAAAGGCGCATAATATTAATAATATAAAGACAAAATTGTTCAAATTTATTATGAAGTTTCATTTTTTTCTATTGATATTTTAATAATCGTAAAGTAAAGTAAATAAATTTTTCATTGAGAGAAAATTTTATACTCACCAGATGGTGTTTGATACTCCTCCCCCTATACTGTTGTGTACTATAGAAAGTTTATTGTAATTGATTTAGTTTTATTTATTAAATTCAAAATGTGGGTAATACTGAATTTGGTATTATCTGTAAACACTAAGGAAGACTTCAAATGAATTTCCAGGAAAATTGGATTACTAAAAAGATATGGTGCTCGAGTATACATGTAATCTGGATTAAACAGCTTTAGTATTGAAACTTTTGGCTTGATGAGTGTCGTCTGTGAAAAATATTGTGCAAACTTTTTTAATAATAGAGAATTACTTTTAAGTAAAGAGTGTTGATTATGGCTGCATGTAAACAAACATCACAGGAATTTATTCAGGACGTATTTTCTCCAATGGTGGCAGTTTTATGTAGTCAAGATGCAAAAAATACGTGCAAAAAGAATAATTTGACTTTTGTAGAACTTTTACAACCCTTTTGCCGTATAAATACTGAAGGTAAGTATTTGCAAATTTGATTTTAAAACAGTACACTAAACAGTTCTAAATTTGAAATGTTCTAACAGAATCTACTAATATTTCTAATAAGAATTATTTCTTACTGTTTCTGGCACTGTGTAACTTTGCTGGTCTACATCTTATCGAAATTGTTCTACTGCCTATAAGATTGCAAAAAATTTAAAGGAATCATAAGTTGACATAGTCTTTTCAGTAAAATTGCATCTCTGAATGATGTGGATGGGACCTTATCAGAGCTGTAGACCAGGGATGGCAACCTTTTTCTATATAAGGATGATATTTAAAACTTTTGAACTGACGTGGGCCCCATACAAGAGAGAAAAGGGTATACCGAGAAAAGAAAACAAAATTGAGTAAATCACAATTATTTATTCGTATGTGATTATAAATTAACATAAGTATACTTAGAGTTCTGTCATTGATGTGAATGTAATATATATTAGACATCAAAACTTATTTAAAACAAGCAGTGACTAATAATCATTAGTCACTGCTTGTTTTAAAATTTAGTAAAATGTGAACCAAGAATTTAGTAAAATGAACCAAATTTAGTAAAATGTGAACCAAGAATTGGCTAACTGTTAGCCAATTCTTGGTTCACATTTTACTAAATTTTTACTAAGTTATAGAAAATAACATTAAAATTTTTGTGCATACCTTCTTAGTCTGGAAATTGATATATTTACTAATACTTTGTGTGATGTGGGCTGCATGAAATATTAATGCGCACCGCACATGGTCTGGGGGCCGGGGGTTGCCCACCCCTGCTGTAGACCATGCCCATAGGAGTAAAAAAAGTCAAAGGATTTGATAGTCTATATATGGGACCCTTTGCAAGATATAGCCCCCTGAAATAAACCTATTTGAAATTTTGAAGATCTTCAAAAATAGGATAAAATTTAAAAATGAAAAACTCCAGAACTATTTCTCAAAACAATGCTAAGAATCAACTGTGTTCCAGTTACTAGAGATGGATAAAAGCTCATACAACATAGTAAATGCCATTTCACTGACTACTACTGGGGTATATCTGTGTACTATATACTATACCAGTGTTCCGCAAGCTTTTTCTATTTGCAGCATACTCATGACTCGACATGTCTCAACATGGCACACCAAAATGTTATTCCCCTCAAAAGTGTATATGATATGATATTATTAATAGAATTACGTAATGCCACTAACCTATTATTATTAAACAGACATCAACACCTGTGAGCAAATTTATTTTACACTAGCAGACCCTACCACGCGTTGTTGTGGCTCAAAATATATCTATTATAAATATATAACACTTTCTCCAAGGGGGATTTTTCGAAAAATTCCTTCTTAATGTACATTCTCTTGATGTACCCTATTAAAACGAAATTAAAAATGCAAAAAACCACATCTAAAATAGTATAGTAAAAGCAGAGTTCTTCACTGTAAGCCTTAATCCTGTCCATATCCCCCCAGTGGGGGAATTTCGACATGTATATTATATAAAAACACGTGCGTATTCGAATGCAACTTTGTGTCAAAATTTGAAAGGAATTGGTAGGAACAAACAAACATTACATTTTTATTTATATACAGTAGATCAGTGTTCCGCAACCGGTGTGCCGTCACATGGTGAAAGGTGTGTCGTGAACTTTTACATATTTTGTTAATTTCAAATTTTATTGATATATTTTTATCATAGTTGTTGTGTTTTTTATGCTTGTATTTCATTCTCTGCCGCAGCACTGATGAAATAAGATGATATTTGTTTATTGTTTATTACAAGCCACGCATTTTTATGTATTCTAAGAAATTATATGAAAAAAAAATTGCTCACAGGTGTTGATGTCTGTTTAATAACGATAATAATAGATTAGTGGCATTACATAATTCTATTAATAGTATCATATGGTACGTTTTTGAGGAGAATAACATTTTGGTGTGCCGTGTTGAGTCATGGGTGTGCCGCAGGTAGAAAAAGGTTGCGGAACACTGCAGTAGATAGATAAAAGATGATCTGCTTTAGTTCATCCTCACAGAAAAGCAAACTTAGGTCGTTGTACTCGCGGAGTTAGCGCCATCTGCTGGACATAAAAGCCTTAATCCTAGATGATATTTTTTAATTTATATGAATGTTTAACGGAATAACATACAGCTTATGTCCACCCTGAAGGACCATTCTAAATATTGGTGAAAGAATTTTTGAAATCGGATGAGTAGTTTCAGAGATTACCTCCTACATCCAAACTTACAAACTTTACCTCTTTATAATATTAGTACAGATTTAATTTCTTAAAATACATAAAAATGCGTGGCTTGTAATAAAGAATAAATGAACGTCACCTTATTTCATAAGTGCTGCGGCACTTATGAGATAACACTTGAAATACAAGCATAAGAAGCACAGCAACTGTGATAAAAATATATAAATAAAGCTTGAAATTAATAGAATATGTAAAAGTTCATGTCACACCTTACACCTTATGACTGCACACTGGTTGTGGAACACTGTACTATACTACCATATCTCACAAATGGTCACATGTATACCATTGGTTTCTTTAATTTTGAGTTCTCTTAAGGTCCTAACTGCCTCATTCAGAGCTGCAATTTTGCCAGAATTATTTCTTAATGTTTTTGGTACAGTTTAGCTCAGCTGGTTTACATCTTATTAAAATTGTTCTATTGCTAGTAAGACTGCAAAAAATTCAAAATGTACACAAAAACTTTTGTTTACAGAAAAATAGTTTAATTACAAATGCTTTCAGCCTTTTTTAAAGACCATCTTCAAATAAAATATAGAATCAAACAAAATGAAAGAATAGAATGTAACTTAAATGCATTGGGAAAAAAAATGCAAAAAATGTAAAGGAGTTATAAGATAGAGATCCTAAAACCATGTAATAATGTGTAAATTATAATCTAAAATTGTTTAGTCTGTTTATGGAAAGAATCAATTTGAGAACAATGTTATGTATGTTGCTGCTTCAGTTAAACCAATTAACATATTCCCTAATGATGTCAGACTTCACTTAAGTCTGGAAATATTTGAATTTTATTTTCTCACACTAGATGGCAGCACAACTTTCCAGTTAATTATGTTAATTTTTTATAGCATATATTAACTGTAAAGAATCATGCATTTAACTATTATGATTTGTTTTATTTTTATTTATACAATATATGAGGCATGTTTTTTTAACTAAGTACTGTTTCAAAATAGGGCCTCTGCAGTTGGTGTTCCACAAATGCGCACTGAGTACCTATATCTGTTGGCTAGACCAAGGCCACTTGATCGCTTCGCTAGTAAGGCCGTCCGCCGTAAGGAAAATTGCCGTATTCACACTGTTTCCATTTTTTGCCGCTGCGAAAGATTTTGGCGCTAGTTATCGGTGAGAATCGTCTGTTGAGTAAATTGGTCGTTTTGTACTTTTGTGTGCGAGTATAGCTATTTTATGAAATTGTGATAATTACATATAGTTATAGTTGTATTTAGTTATACTTATTCGTGAGTTATATACGGTTGACGGGATTTCTCTTCAACAGCAGCTTGGTATATAGATATAAATACATTCATTGTGTGGTCAAACTGTGGAAAAAGTTCTCAGACTGCATCATAAGCCCATTTCTAGAAAAATATTAAAAGTCTAATGTTGTCTAATTCATATTGTAAATTTCTGATGAGGAGGAAGCTAAGTACATTTCTGGTCTTTGACTGAATTTTACAAACTGTAAAATTCAGTCAAAAACAGTGTACACTTTATTCAATAAATTAATTTTTCTTATGTAATAAGCTTTTGCTTTTTCTATAAAGAATTTTATTTATATTAGAGATGTAAACTGAAGCAATGTTACTTTTACCATAGTTATACTTTTAATTTCAACTTTAAAACAATATATGTTGCTTTTGTTCACATTTCTGTGTACTTCTCCAATATTAATTATAATAAGTTCTTACCTTCAATATCACCATATTTCCGTGCATATTTTTCGAAATTTTTTTACTAACTAAAAACTTTGCTTATTTTTGCAAAAAAATAAGCAAATTTTTTCGAAAGGTTATATCGGTATTTATTCTTACAGTCTTGATTAACAAAAGTAATAATTTTATAACAGATTTAATACACAACATTTTAATAATTATCATATATGGTCCGAAAATGTGAAAATTTTTATAGTAGACAGTGCATACTGTAGGTAACCTAGTTTTGCTAATTTTGCATACTTTTCGAGTAAAAAAAATATTTACATTAACGATTAACTACTGGTATCTTTAAGAATCGAAAAGAGATGATTAAATAGTATTAATGTGAAAAAGTTTGTATTTTCCATGCCAATAATACTCAGTTATTATTTCTTCCTAAAAACGTCTTATGAAAATAAAGTGAAAAATACTGTTATTATTATTTCGCTTTTTTCACAAACTAGGGAACATCGTTTGCAGCAGCTCATTTCTTGATTGTCAAAAGTTTTCAACCTGCTTTAATGAGAAAAATATTTAAATGCAGCGACGTCTCTAAATTCCTCTATACTCTCCACCTGAATCGCTGACGATGGATGTCACCGATCGTCAGCGCCACAAGCGGAGAAAATATTAACTAGCGTCTATACGCTCGGTCCCGTAGAGAGAGATAGTTGGCGGACGGCCTTACTAGCGAAGCGATCAAGTGGCCTTGGCTAGACACAGACACCATTACGGAAGCATTCATTCATTTTACATTTGTTTGTATGTGTTTAAAATGCCTCAGACAATTGAAAATCCCATCGATTGTGAAGTATGCACTATGATTCATTTTCTTAATGCAAAAGATGTGAAAGTGGCTGACATTCATTGGCAGATTAGTGAGGTGTTTGGAAAAAACATTGAGTGATGTAATGGTAAGAAAATGGGTTAGAGCATTTAAAGATGGCTATATTAATGCCCATGACGTAGTGGGTGACCGTCTGTCATTACTGAAGACTTGGTGCAGAAAGTTGATGTAAAAGTTTGAGAAAACAGA